GACGTAGTTTGATTTCTTTGTGTGGGAACCGCAGAGAGCCCCAAATCTACCCATCTGTCTACACGCACGCACATCTGGTCCCCACGCCCTCCCCCAGCAGATGGTGGGCTCTTCCCAGCGCCCCTACCAGACCTCGATGGGCGATGGGCCCCCTTCCTCGGGCGGCCTCTTCCTAGTCACTGGACCCTTCCTGTAGCGCTTCACCCCCTCAAGCCCCCCGCTCAAGCCCCCCGCTCAAGCCTCCCGCTCTAGTTCTTACAACAGCAGCAAAGAACTCAAAGGCCTCACCAGACCCCGTGCTACCCAAGGGTGAGCAAGAATGGGCTGCCTTTGGTGGGCGCACAATGCCGCAGACAGACCACATATCACAGAGCTGTATGCTGGGAACCTATATGACCTTAGGAACCAGTTTCACCCCAATAAATTTAAGAAAGAAAAATGGGACATTATAAACACTGGAGATAATGAGAATGGATGTCGAAGGGTGATTCAGAATTCTGATACATGTTAAAACACCAGCCCCGCTACCTACCAGCTGTGCAACCTTGGGCGAGTTACTAACCTCTCTGTGTTTCAGGCTCCCCAACTATGAAGAAATATGGTTTAAAAAAAAATGGATAAATAGTACCTATCTCCTAGGTTGTTACAAGGAGTAAATAATATTTTTTCAAGAGCTCCAAACAGTGCCTGGTGCACTGTAAGCATTATGTAAGTGTTTGCTAATCAGATAAAATGGAACCACAGCTGACATCTAGGGAAATGAGCCCTGACTTTTCCAGCCACACCCTCTGGACGGAGGAAATGATGACCAGTCAGGTGCTCTCGAAAAACATTTCACTCATCTAAAACTTGGTCAACATTTTTTAAATTTATTTTTTCCTCACCCGAGGACATTTTTCCATTTTTGTTGTTGTTGTTGTTGTTTTGTTGTTGTTCAGACAGAGTGGGAGGGAGGGAGAGAGAGAGAAACATCGACGTGAAAGGGACACATCGAGTGGCTGCCACCCGCACGACCCAACCAGGGCCGGGGACAAAATGCAACCGAGGTACGTGCCCTTAGCAGGAACCGAACCCGGGTCTCTCTGGACCGCGGGCCGACGCTCTTACTGCTGAGCCAAACCAGCCAGGGCTCAACTTTTTTTTTTTTAACTAATAAATACTCTTGTATAGTGAGAAGTCATATGAAGACTGTGCAAAACTCACCCTGGCTGGGTGGCCCAGTTGATTGGAGCATCACCCTTTGCACCAGAAGGTTGTGGGTTCAATTCCCGGGCAGGGCACATGCCCAGGCTGTGGGGTTGATCCCAGTGGGGGCACATACGGGAGGCAGGTGATCAATGCTCCCCTCCTACATCCATGTTTCTATCCCCACCCCCCACCCCGCACTATTTCTCTCTCTAAAAATCAATGGAAACATATTCCTCGGTGAGGATTAAAAAAAAATACTCTACAAAACTCAAGTTACTAAAAGTGCGTCCTTTCTGCTGATAGTGTGGGGTTCCACCTGGGGGGCTGGGGGTCATGCTGCCACAAGCAGCCGAGGAAGGCACACTGGGGGGAGCCTGCAGGGCGGGGGCATGTCGGCAAGACGCCGCCCACACCCCTGAATCCTCACCAACACCTCCAGCAGAGGGGTCCCCACATGCCCTGGAGGCCAACCTTTGAGGTGACGGGCAGAAATGGTTTAGGGCTAAGACGCACGAGCCCAGCTTCAGCGACAGTTTACTCGAGGTTTCTGTCAGAAACTGCACCCTTCCTGGGCCTGCGGAAACCAGGAGCTGCGTTGTTCCTGGGGTGAGCGGGACCGTCCTCCCGCACTGGCTCCTTGTCCGTGGGGCGTCCAAGGGCCAGGCCTGAGCGTGTGGCTGGCACGGTGAGAGCTGAAGCTACGCGGCGCTTCCCCAAGTACCCTCCGGAGAGCACGCCCCAGGCCCTCGTTCCCTTCACTGCCTGCGGAGCTCAGACCCCGGCCAACAAATCCTGCTCAACTGTGGAAACGTTCAGACGTGCACCGACGGCAGCACCCAGGGGGCCGTGGCCAGCACTGGTGGGTGGGGGTCGTGGCTGGGCACAGGCGTGTGGCGGGAAGCCATGGCCAGGCACTGGCGTGTGGCAGGGGGCTGTGGCCGGGCACTGGCACGTGGTGGGGGGTCGTGCCTGAGCACTGGCACGTGGCGGGGGGCCGTGGTTGGGCAATGGTACATGGTGGGGGGCCGTGGTTGGGCAATGGCACGTGGTGGGGGGCCATGGCTGGGCACTGGCGCGTGGCAGGGGGCCGTGGTTGGGCAATGGCGCATGGAGGGGCAGGCAGGGCCAGAGCGCCGCCCCACTGTGCCTATGGCCAGTACTGACCCTCTCTGTGCCTGGACTTTCTCATCGGGAAAATCCGTGTTGATAACACATTGTCGGGGTTCAAAACAATCCCCCACACTGCCCCTCTGTGGGACGCGGGGTATTTTGAGCTAAAGGCAACCGAGACCCTAGGGGCTCAAAGAGCCCACCCCTCACCTACCCAGAAGAACCCGAATGAGGGGCCTTGCCCACAGTAAGACATGCTCTGAGATGACCTTTTGACCTTTACTGCAGGGCGGGGGGATCCTAGTGACTGACCGCCTGCTCCTTGCAGGACCGTGCGACGACCCTTGGAATCCCCAGGTGCCCTCCCTCGCCTTAGCCAGAGGCCCCGCGCACCTCGCTCTCCTTTCTGCGCCTGAGCCTCTCGTGGGGGGGGTCCCGGGCGCCTGGAATTCGATCCGATACTCCCTTGTTAGCCTCTCTCGTGTCAGCCGAGTATTCAACCAGACACAGGGAACAGAGCAGGGAGGGAGTGTCCTCCTGCCCCACATCGCACGCGCTCACGCGGACGTCTGGCTGGCAGACGGCCAGCGCCGCCGAGCCCTGCCCGCGTGCTAAAGGGGCAAGTTCGAGAAACATGCGTTACCAGCTGGCTGCCTTGTTCGAGGACCTAATCGCACCTGTGCAGGCTTTGCACACGATGGCCCCTCCACCTGGCCCCGGACAAGGTGACTTCCTGCAGCCAACGGCCAGGGCTGCTCCCAGCGAGGTTACGACACCCCTAAAAGAAAAGTCGCTGGGCTGCAGCCTCAGAAAGTCCATGTGAGGCTGCTCCAAGCACCAGTGAGCACGCATCCCCATGCCGGGGCGTCCTGCTGCCCGCCACGTTTATACTGATGACAAAACGGGGGGTGGGAGCATGGCCGAGCTCAGAGAGCAAGGCCGCGCGTGGAACTCAGCCTCCACTTCTCCGCAGAGCAGAGAGGAGCGGGGGCAGGCACACCGACCACTTACAGAGCAGGAAGGATACCAGCTCCTAGCCTGGACCTGGGGCCCATGAGGACAGTATTCAGGGTCCTGCACAACCCAAGTACATTGCCTCCTTTCACCAAGTAACAGGAATAAAGCAAGGGGCATTCTATCGCCTGAAACCTAAACGGACATTTTAGAAACTTTGAAAGTGTTTATCACGAGAAAACATGAATCCTACATGAACGCAACCTGACCACTGAGGCACTCTGATCAGTGCAGAGGGGTCTGTGCTCCGCAAAACGTTAGCTGCACGGGAGTGAACACGAGTGGCCTCGCTTACCCCTTTTATCCACACCGCGTGTTACATGTGTTGGAGCCCACAGAGCAGACACATGGTTGTGAGTTTCTTCCCTGAACCACCTAGACACCGGCTCTCCGAGACACACGTCAATATGTGCACAGACACCCCCGAGTCACCGTCCACATTCCCAAAGCAAGCGCTAAGCCGTCGCCGGGATGGGTTTCTCATGCCTTCGTCTTTCCGTGTTAGTGGTGTTGGTTTGTGGAAGGTGGAAGTTCCCTAACTCACTAATTCATCTCCTCCAACCGTGTATGAAGCAGATTTTGAAACTGGTACCATTGTTATTTCCACACCTCGTAAATTCTGTCCTGGCTGCAAAAAACCCACTACCTCAAATTCTGTGGACATACTACACTGTCAAGAAACAGAAAGTGCACTGCTAATAGGTAATGATTAACATATAATAAATTAATTCACTAAAGAGTTATGGCTAGCAGTGCATGGCAAATAAACTTCATGCATATTTCCCAGGAAAAAAATACTTTTTCTTTAACAGAAAAGAAATATTCCAGGTTTATTTTGTGTTTATGAAACAATACATTCCACTCCGTGTCCCTTAAAATTGTCAGTGTTTATTTTGATAAGCATTTATTTTTAAACATGGTACAGCTGGGGTCCTTATGTGTGATCTGTGTGACACCATTTAAATTCTACACTTAAACTGGAAACATGTTAATGTAAAAGATGGTGTGCGTTGTGTTCAACTAAAACACGCACACACACACACACACACACGCACACATGCACACACATGTATATATGAAAAAGTTTAAAGCACACAGAAACATCTGCCATATGTCTGCCCTGACGCTGAGAACTCGCCCGGAGACAACGGCACCAGGGAAGACTCACAGACCGAGAAGGAAGAAAACAGGGTGTGCACACACATAACACATGAAAATTGTTTATCATTTCGCAGCTCCGACACTCTAATGGGAAGGTGCCCAAGAGTTTGATCATCTCTTCGTATCATTCGATCCAGGTAGGAGAAGAGTAACGTGATTATTTCCCGAAAATTAAAAAAATACAGTGTGCTGACTTTGATGAGTCAACAGACTGGAGATGTTCTATCTCCCTTGACTTCTCAACACGCAACCCCTCGAACAGACCTGACCCCAGCGTCATACTTTCATTTCGTGATAATGACCCAGTCGCACAGCCCCTCCACGTTTTGCCGGAACGTCCGCAGACATCACCCGTGACTCTCAGGGGAACGCGGAGAGGAGGAAGCCTAGAACCCACGGGGTTCTGCAGACGGGGACACTGAGGCTGACAGAAGAAACATGCCCCAGGTCATCCCGTCTACCGCTTGCCAGTCGCCAAGACCCAGGATGGCAGCACAGGAGCTACCAGGCCAGTCCGGTGCAGTTACCTGATGGGGCGATTCTCCTTGCTGTCGAAGAGCGAGAAGATGACCTCCAGCTCCTCCCCCAGGTTGGAACACATGAGGCTCTTCATCTGCACAAACAGGTGGTGGCTGCTGGCCTGCACGGGGGTGTCCTTCTTCCGATGCCGATGCTCCATCTGGACGACACCCCCCAACAGAAAAGCGATCAGCGAGAACATAATGAGATCTGGCCGACCAGCGAGCTGTGGTGTGATCATGACTCCCTGGGCAATACTGATGTCCCCCAACCCGCGCTGGGCTCACCTCCTGACACTCATCACCAGGGGAGAATATCCCAAGTCGAAAATGCCTGGACTATACCCAACCCACGGGACATCATCGGTTAGCCTGGCCCACCTTCCGTGTGCTCAGAACATACACTCTGGTCTACAGCTGGGCCATTACGTTGAGTTTCACCTCAAGAATAATCGCATTGTTCTTCACCCCAGAAGCAGGAGACACAGAAGGGTGTGATGGGGAGTGAATACGGGGAACACGATGTCCCAAAACACAGACAAAACAGGACACTGTAGAGTACAGGCTGTTGACCCTCAGGATGGCGGGCCTGACGGGGCGGAGGCCGCTGCTGTCCAGCATCACGAGAGAGTGTCATACCACCAGCTAGTCCAGGAAGACATCGAAGTTCAAAATTCACGGCATGGTTTCTACTGAATGTGCATTTCTTGTGCACAGGCCCACCGTAAAGGTGAAACATTGAAGTTGAACCTTTAGAAGCCGGAGGTCATCTGTAATTTTTTTCTTTTTCCTGTGCTTTTGGAATCTAAGCAGATGTTAAATTCCACTTTTCCTGCCAACTTCTAAAATTGGACACTACCAAGTTGACAAACCATTGCTTTGAGAATTTGTTTTCTTCCCCTGGCCGGTTTGGCTCAGCGGTTAGAGCGTCGGCCCGCGGACCAGAGTCCCGGGTTTGGTTCCCGTTAAGGGCACGTACCTCAGTTACAGTTTGTCCCCGGCCCTGGTTGGGGTCGTGTGTGTGTGGCAGCCAGTCTGTGTGTCTCTCTCACATCGATGTTTCTCTCTCTCTCTCTTACCCCCTCTCCCCTTTCCGCTTTATCTGAAGATAAATGCAAAAATGTCCTCGGGTGGGATTGAAAAAAAGAGAATGTGTTTTCTTAATCGTTAATGTTAAAAGGATACCAAGGCACAGAGCAGATCCAAGCCTGAAGATCCAAGGATGCTACTGCTCCCTTACCACCTCCCAGGGTGAGAACACAGTATGAGTCACCCTTCAAAATCAGACTCGCAGCTCAACTATGCAGCTACGACGTCGCGTTCCTCCTCATCAAAAGGTCTTTTAAAGTCTACCGCACTGCAACATCATGGTGGTTTTCTGAGGCAGGCAGTGGTAACCCATATTCCATGACCAGGGCAAGAAAATGTTTCCGACCTGCCTTGCAGCTCTAGGGGTGCAGACCTGTGAAAGCCAGGTGGGTGTCTAATGTAGCAAGAGCATCTGTGTCCACCTGTCGCTTTCTTCCTGAATGCGGCCAGCCTAGGCTACCCCTGGAGGCAGGACCAGAAGTGAGGAGAAGGTAGGGCTGACCATTCATTCAACGCACGTTTGTGGAGTGCCTACTGTGTGCCAAGCACCAGACACGGTCCACGCCTCCACGGAGCCCTCTGCCAGGGGAACAGACATCACCAACCGTGTCACACCCAACTATGAAACTGCCGGTGTGATGAGCAGACGAGAGGAACCGGGTGATCGGGATGCTCTTGGGGGCGACCTGAACTGGGGCGGTGACCTGTTAGCCCAGAGGAAGTGTGAGCGGGGACCAGGAACCAAGGACAGCCCTTCTCGAGCTACCTGCAGCAGACAATCAGGCCGTCCCTCGCCGTGACCTCCTGCAGGTCAGGAGGTCCATGAAATACAACGAAAACGCCACGTCACCAGTGCCGAACGGGACCACGCGCAACGGCCTGTGTGTGGACAGGACAGGTGCAGGGGACGTGGCGGGTTCTCGCTTTCAGAACACACACGGCCCAAGAGCCATTCTCTGCACACTCCCTTGACGACGAAAACGGCAGTGCAGGGATTTTAACTCCAGTCACCGAGTCCCGTCCTGGGCATCGCGCGGTTTCTACACGCACCTCCCTGCTAGGCTTCTAAGTCTAGGTCAGCGACTCCTGACTGGCTGACCAACATCCGAAGGCAAAAAGTGGCATCTAAATATACAGCTGTCAATGCCGCCGCCTCAAATCACCAGGACGCTTCACGCTGTTGTCTCTTAATTTGCACCACTCACAGCGTGAATGGCTGCAATTAACCAGATGCATCCAGCCACAAGCACTGTGGGCTCAACAGGTGCAGCGGAGACGTCGTGTAAACGTGGGGAACAAGCGCCCTTTCCTCGCAGGTGGACCTCGGGGGGGCGGGAGGGGCAAGCCTTGGCCATCCCTACTAGAAAAAGGTTCCTACAGAAAAATATTCTAGGAAAAAAGCACGATTCTGCCTTGTTGTCCAGGAAGGTGGCTCTATTTTCTGCTTTGAGAATTCTTTTCCCCAGCATCAGACAGTCATAAAACTACATTTCTTTAACTCACAAAGAAGCTTTTTTCTCCCCGAAATTGCCAGCCGATGTACTGATTTACTTGGACGGGCAGGGTGACACAGGACACGCTACTCTGAAGAGATGAATGACCACTAAAGCCTGGAGCGGGAGAAACCTACGGAATCCCTATGAAAAGGACAGACCTCAGTGGGACGCCTGGTCTTCACCCGGAACAGGCCAACTCCAGACCGATCCTGGCGTCGCTAAAAGCCGCGGGGAAATGAGCCCCGTCACTCATGCAAAGACGCCAACATCTCTAAACGGGGGGTCTCTGCCTCGACACGGGCGAGCACCACGGGGCTCTTCAAACATGCGTTTGAAGGTGCCGCCCAGAACAATGAAGCGAGAATTTCTAGGGGACAGGGCTCCAGACGGTGGTCCTTCCAAAGCTCCCAGGGGACCTGAATGTGTGGTGAGTTGAGATCAGACGCAAAGCTGAACGGACAGGTACCACTGTAGCTTTCGCACGGTCAGCGCCTTGGAACCGCGTCTCCACGTGCCCTCGTCTCGAGCCTGCCGGGTGCACCCTCTGCACAGGGACCTGGGTCCTCCCAGGGGCGCACTCGCCCTCCCCGCCTTTCTCCCAGGGCTCGGCAGGATGGACCCAGTAGGTTACGACTATTTGTTGATCTCTTGGTAGTTCACTACTTTGGGGAACTGCTAAAAATGTCTCTGTGAAAATACCGCTACAATTGCAAAATCCGAGAGGCATGCTCACACCGGAAGAGCTCTCATTTGGGAGTTCAGACAGACAGACAGACAGACAGACAAGACCCATCTCTGAAATAACGGACCGTTGCAAAGGCCCCTACCAGTGACTCGGAACGCGCTTACAGTTCAGCTAGACTGCTGATCAGGAACTAAAACAGATTCACCCCAAAGACTGAGGTGACGCACATGCTGAACCCCCACACACGGCACAGCGTCTTCCGTTGGGGCATTTAGCTCCACGCCACAGTCCCAGGGCCACGGGTAAGGATTGGCCACCTGCCTTTTTCCCTGCAGCACTAGTGACAGTCTGGGCTGGACCGTTCTCTGTCGCGGGGCTGTCCTGGGCTTTGTGAGATCTTGGCAGCCGTCTGTAGCCTCCACCCACCAGATGCCAAGAGCACCTCCCCCCAGCCCTGCCCACCATCGCCCCCAATTGTGATGATGGAAAATGTCTCGACATCGTCCAGGATCTTGGGGGGGAGGGGGGATTGGCTCTGTTTGAGAAGCACTGGCCTACCCCCCAAGGGTCACAGAACAAGCAGGGAACATGACCTTATCAAGCCAAGGAAGCTTCCTAAACAGATTCTCCTCCTGCTCCCGGCACCAGAGAACCCATCTGCCACAGTTCCCTTTCTTCACAGGAAAACGGGGACCTGGCCTTCGGCAGTAAACCAAACCGTCCAGGAGCACGTAGTTCCGCGGTGGGGTTCGGCCCTTCACCGCCTGGGTGAGCGCAGTCGGGTGAGGAGGTCTGCCCACAGGGCAGCGGCCCTGAGCAAGCCTGCTCCAAATGTGCGCTACGGCCTCGGGGAGACGCTGGCCCCGCGTGTGAACGGCGACACGGAAGGTGTAATGAAAAAAAGAAGCGGCAGCGTCTTCCGTTGGGGCATTTAGCTCCACGCCACAGTCCCAGGGCCACGGGTGACAATCACCCACCACACTACAAGCAGTGGTGGTGGGGCCTGCTACCTCCCCAGGGAACTCGATCTTGTCAGTCACGTTGGCGTCGCCCTGGCTGGTGGGGCTCGGTGGTGAGAGTATCGGCCCTCGGATGAGAGGGTCTCAGGTTCAGTTCTGCTCAAGGGCCTGTACCGGGGCTGCAGGTTCGATCGCCGGTCCTGGTTGGGGTCGTGCGGGAGACAACCAACTGGTGTCTCTCTCACATCGATGTTTCTCTCTTTCTCCCTCCCTCCCCCTCTATCTAAAAATATCAATGGAAAAAATCCTCGGGTGAGGAGCAACAACAAAGAGCCACCTGAGTGTCCCGGGGCGGGGGTCGGCAGGCACGAGAGGCTGCCTGAGGAAGAAGAAGACATGTCCTTCTGCAGCTGAGAAGCACTTGGGTTTTCCCTGTGTTGTTTTCTTCGCTTTAGAAATTGAAAAATGCAACCTCTGTTAGGAGAAATTAAACATTCATGCAAAACGACAATGCCCTGGTTTTCCTCATCTGTAAACTGAAGGCTACAGACTAGGATTTGAGATAAAAAAAATACCAAAAATACAAAAACGAAAAACTAAACCCTCCCACGGCAGCCATGGCTAATTAGTGGTAGTTCTTTCCCGCCAATAACAGCCCCTGGCCATCAGTCACAACCCAAATGAGACCCCCGAATCTTATCGACATGGCACCCTCACCCGCCAGCACCGATCAACTGGAATGTGGAAAGATGAAATCAATTTACCATCCCACACGCGACATTCAATGAAAGGAACAAAGATAAAAATCACTGGCACACAAAATTGGACTAGGGAAAGTATATATTTGTGTCAGACTTTGTTAGTTGCTTATCAAGTATTTGACACCCCTACCTAAATATGAGGCTGCAACTATGTTCTGGCCAAGGAGATATAAGTGCAAGTGTTGTGTGAAACTTCCAGGAAGTTTCATTAAAGTAGTTGAATCCACTGAGAGGAAACTTTCTCCTCCCTACTGCTGGAGAGCAGAAGCAATGGCTGGAGCTCCTGCAGCCACACTCTGTTTTGAAGTATTCTGGATGATGGAAGCAATGCACTGCATAGCAGAAAAATGAGAGCCTGTATCCACATCTGAGCCCAGAACTTCTTGCTTCTGGACTTGCATATTATGAGAGAGAAATAGATTTCTATCATATCAAAACTTTTATTTGTTTCATTAGAGCCAAATTTAATCTTAAGCTTTAGCATATAAGGTATCAGTTCTTCTGGCCACCTCACTTGTCTAAGGATAAACTAAAGGTGAGGAAAAAATGAAAATCAACTGAATGCCTAGGCACATGCATTTCTTACTTAATATGCATTTAAAAAAACATGATAAGAATTATATCCCCAATTAACAGATGAAGAAACTGAGGCTCTGAGAGATTAAGCAGTAAGTCCAAGATCTCTCCAAGGAGAGACAGAAGTCAAATCCAGCTGTTTGGATCTACACCCGTGATTTTTCCGCTGCTTATTAAGTACAAAGTACTATACAAGATGATCTTAGATATACTAGAAGAAACAGAAGACACAGTGCCCACTCTAAAGAAACTTCAAATTGAGTGAGAGATTTAAAAAATAAAAGTGGACCTGGCCGGTTTGGCTCAGCGGTTAGAACGTCGGCCTATGGTCCAGAGAGACCCAGGTTCGGTTCCCGCTAGGGGCACGTACCTCGGTTGCAGTTTGTCCCTGGCCCTGGTTGGGTTGTGTGGGTGGCAACCACTCGATGTGTCCCTCTCACGTCGATGATTCTCTCTCTTCCTCTCTCTCCCTCCCACTCTATCTGAACAAAAAATGGAAAAGTGTCCTCAGGTGAGGATAAAAAAATAAATAAATAAAAATAAAATAATAAAGTAAAATAAAAAGTAAAAGTGAGAGACAAAATATGATCCTCAACAAAAAGATGTCCCATTGGAGGATATGACCACCAAGAACATTATACGGATTTGATTTGTTATAAAAACTAAGAAGTAGTGAAGACGTTGATTCGGAATACTATTACTTTATTCCTTCCCCTTCCCTGCCTTCTTCCAGCTGACCTTGAACTGTGTCCCTTCGATTCGCGGGATCCTCAGCTCAGCGGTGTGGTCAGAAGGACACACAGCGTGAACTGTCCCTCTAGGAAGCTCAATGGAAAACAAACCATCTACAAAGACAGAATTTATTTCAACCTATATAATGAGGCGTAGATAGTCCAAACAAATCCATGACTAAGGAAAAAACTGAAAGCAGTATTAAGAATGGTTTTCTCAAATCACACATAAGCCCTGATGGACTTACTGGTGATTTTGCCCAACATTTTCACATACAGATAATCTCAGGGTCAAGAACAGCCCACCGTGGGCTTGGAAAGCTACCTCAAAGAGGCAGCGTCTTCCGAAAAGGACCCTATTATTTGCCACAGGCGCCCCCTCTGGGAACAGCTGAGACACAACAGAAATGAAACTCCACCCGGGGGCGTGGCCCTGGAAAACCCTTCCCAACCACCTGCTTCTTTCTCTGAGTCTGAGTTTTTAAGAGTTTCCTTCGTATCAAGAGATTAGGTAAATTCTACACAACTATTAAGAATACGAGGCTCCATACAAAGCACATTGGACCAGATCGGAGGAATCTAGGCGCCTGGCAAACAGCTGGGGTACTCCAAGCCGAAGTCCTCACCACCTCAGCTGTCATAACGAAACAAACGAGTCACGGGTGATGCCGTGACGGGCGACCTGATCCAGTATTTCAGGGTTACGCACTGGCTTCAGCACTTGGAAATGGGTCGGGGTGTGGGAGGGTTAGGGTCAGACCCGCAGTTGCAGACCAAGGAGACTCCCAGGAGTCTGTTCCTAGTGATGACGGGGGTGGAGCGGGGGAGGGGGGCACATTGGTGAGCTAGGATTAGACACCATTAGTCAGAGCACCGTCCTGAAACACAACAGGGAAAAGTGCATGGCTTCTAAGCGTTTCACTAGACTAGGCAAAAAGTACAAAGATTTGCAAAAGAACCTAACACTTGTTTGGGTTTACTTCCTAGTCCTGGGAGCGGCGGCTGAGCGAGGACGCCGTGTCGTTGTGAGACGGGCAAGGTGTCTCAGTTATGTACTTAAGGCACGGTCGCTCAGCGCTGCACCCTCTTTCCTTGCTCCAACCACACCTGGCACATCCTTTCTTACCCGATGAACAAGCACCAAGAGTGCCATCACACCCGGCGTTTCCTACCTACCAATCGGTACAGCTCGGTGATGCTGATGTCCTCCGGGTCCACCATGGCATACTCCTTCCTGGGCACCAGGTCCAGGCCCAGCTGTCTAGAAAACAAACGCACAAGTGCGGGAGAAAAGTCAACTTTAGGCGTACGTTGAAAATACTGATTTTCACTTCATCGCTTTGAAATGAGACCTATCAGCCCCATGCGTTTCTCACCCGTGATTTTTACTCTGTGTAACTTGTTGCCGTGATGGGGCCACCAGTGCAACAGGCTGAGAAACAGAAGATGACTCGAGCGGGCAATGGGGAGTAAGGGGGTGGCGCTCTCAGTGGGGTGACCCCACCACCGGGGGCCTCGGTGTTCTATAGTGGGGGCCTGGAGCGCCTGCCGACAGTCACCCCGAGAACCCTTCCAGCTTGGCCGGGGGGGACCAGACCCAGACTTAAGTTCCCTCCGGGCCCTGGAGTTGCACAGAGGGAAGTCGGCGTCTAGGACTCGACCGGGCTCCACGGCACCCGTGGTGTTCAGAACTGACACGCTTCTAACGGGACCCTGCGCGACATGTGCGTGGCCACCAGTCATTCTTAGAGGGCCCTGGTGTCAGTCATCAGGAGAATCGCAGGAAAGGCAGGGGCCAAGCTGGGGCGGCACTGGCACAGGCCTGGGCAGGAGCAACGGTTTCCTCCCGTGTCAGGTGTCACACCTCCCTGTGGAGGACTCAACTGTGCCCCCCAAGCACGGAAGCTTTTCACTGAGTTCTGCGAGCAGCTCCTCGAAGAGGCTACAGATGTGCCCGGGGTGAGGCGTGTGCAGGGAAAGACCCGCGGTGAGACTGTCCCCGGGGGCCGCTCATGTCAGCATCTCCCGACCGACGGCACTGGCCCTGTGACCGTGATGCGGAAGAGCCATATGTTCAAAGGAAATGCACATGCCAAACCTAACAGCCCACCTGAAAAGCGGAGCTGATGTAGCAGAAGCCACACCTAACACCCCTGCCATCTTTCATGTTCGTGAGCACGGCCCCCCATCTGGCCACACGGGACACGTGTGAGCACGCTGCAGCCCGGTGCCCACGCCAGCCCAGCCCTAGGGAATGTGGGTCTGGGCTCCATCAATGACAGTTTGCACGGAACCCCCAAAACGGGACGACAGGGAAAGCCCCAGGAAGGGTCTTCCGGCGCGAGTGCCGCGTGTCCCCCACTCATCGTGCTCGGCGCCCGCCGTCCCTGCGCGGCCGCACTCACTCGTTGCCCCAGTCGAGACGGGCGGTGATGTGGCGCTTCACGTCCTTCATCCGGTCGTGGGTCAGGTGGCCCACCAGCACCTGCCGCCGCAAGTCCAGGATCTCGTTCATGATGTGCCGCAGCCGGTGGAAGAGGTCGCCTTCGTTTCTCTGCAACACGCAAACGGGCAGACTCAGTAGGTGACCCCACGCTGAGCCGTGGGGACCCCAGAGGACAGGGAGGACCACGTCCTACATGCTCGCCTCTCTGAGGACAGAGTCTTCCTTAACAGACGCCCCTCGTGTCCGCCGACGCTTTGCGGCTCTGTCTGCTGTCACTCAGCTTGATGACACTGCTCCCCTGCCCGAGAAGCCACTGTCACAGCTCAGACTGCCCAGCAGACACAGTCTCTGCTGGGCCGTCCCACCCGGGTGCAGTCAATGGTCAGTGGGAACGGTGAACTCAAGTCAAAGAAAGTACGTACGGAAAGTAAGACAGAAGTCAGATCTCAAGCCGCGGAGGCCAGCTGCCAGCTCCCTCCAGCACTACCGTCACGGAGTGCCCGGCATCCTGCATCCGGGACCAGCTGGACTTTCAGGGCTGTCCCCCTGGGACTTCGGTGTAAGAGCCCAGCTCTCCCTGACGGCAGGGACCCAGATGCGCCCCAGCGCTGACCCGCAAACCTGCCCGACCAGCGCGTGCGAAGACCACCACCCGCTCTGCCGGTCAGTCCTCGCGGGATGCTTCTTTAAAAGCTGGCTCCTAGGAATCAGACCGCTCTGAATACAACTCAGAAACGCGACCCGTGCTCCTAGCCTGATGTTCAACGGAAAAAGGCAGGCACCATAGCAAACACTTGAGATCAACCAGCACCGACACATTCCTGTAATAGATCAGAAAGGCCGCGGAACGTTCCTTGTGAGAACTGGGTGTTTTAGAGAAAGGGGAAGTTTCAATTCGCCGGAAATGAAGACAGCGTGAGTTCGGGGGCAGCGGACAGACCTAGATTTGGACTCGGCCTTCGCTCTGAGCACGAGACCCTGGACAGATGGTCTCGGGTGAGGTCCGTGAGTCAGAACTACCTGGCAGACCCACACCTGCCGGCCCAGGGCCGGCACAAAGCGCCCAGTACACGGCTGCTGCCCCTCTGCCGAACGTGTCACGGCTCTATCCGTGGTGATTAACTGATGCTCTAAAGGGCTGCTCTAGGCCCCTGCCGAGGTCATTGTAGAGCAAGCAGCTAGCATTTCTGCAGCACCCTCCAGCCGCTCAGAAGGTCAGAGTCCTCCTACCGAGCGGGTCTCACGCGCCGCCTACGACTGAGACGTAACTGCCCCCGTCCAGCCTCTTCCAGTGGAGAAGCCAGGTGCCTTAAAACCACCGAAACGGGTGGACAGTGCCCCAGTGCGCTCAGCACTGAGCCTTAAACCAAGACACTGGCCACGGAACATCCGCATCGGGACAAGAGAACCCAAAAGGGCCAACAGAGCCAAGTCAGCCTCATTCTCAAGGTAAAAAAAATCTGATCTCCAGGGTCAACTTTATATGGGTTCCCAGGGTCACTGACAACATTTCCAGCGTCCAGGGAAACGAAAATCATTCTGCCTCCATCGTTCCGGATACTCGGCAGTGTGGAGGTTACTCCTACAACTCACAACACACAGATTTGCAAGCCAATCGAGTGTGTCCCCAAAATAGACGCTCGGAACCTCAAAAGCAGGTAAAAATGGCTAGAAAAGGCAGCACCAAGAGGAAATTCAACTTTGGTCCCCATACGACAGGGACGTGCCCTGGGGATGAACGGATGACACATGTCCATAAATCTGACATTGGGTATTTGGGAGGCAGTAATGGGGACATTTCAAATCACTTAGTTCTCCACGTTAGTGCCCCGCACGATGCTGTTTTCAGTGAAACAACACTTGGATTTTCTATTCTTTCCAGCATCACTGTTTTTAACCGCAAGAGTCAACATGCCCTTTGCCGGCCCCGCACAGAGCCCTCAGGTCCGTTACCTCAACTCGCCTTTCCCAATCCAGCGAGAAGCTTAGACTCGGGAGTTTCATCTAAGGGTGTCCGTGGATTTTACGACGGAGTCCCAAAGCCACAGGGCCCGGCCAGATTAATCCAAAATCAAAAGGCTTTTTCCTGGTGACGTTTTAAGGTTCTCTTGCCCGCATGAAATACCCGACTGCGCTGTCTACGGACCACAGGGTAGGTAAGCACTGTCGTCCTGTGCCCGTCCCCACCGAGACAGGCACCCCGACAGGCTCTTCGAACCCTTTTGTCAGGATAAGAACCCCTTGGTATTTTGAACATATCCCCACAAGTGATGAAGCTGCTCTGTACGTGTCTTTGGAAAAAAAAAAAAAAAGGAAATAGTTGTCATCTGTCCCTCAATCTTGGCCACCCCCTAATTTCCACATATACAGGGGTTCGGGCTCCATCCACGTCAGAATCCAAGCTCAAGCCCGTTCCCAGGTGGCCCTGAGCACAGACTTCACTCTGTCTCGTGTCCCTGGCTGGTGAGCTGGGATAATCACTGTCACTGTTTTCTCAAGTGGTTGGAGGAATAACTACGACATTGCATAGAAAGTATCCCCACAGGGTCGGCAACACAGGCGCTCGATAAATGTACTTGTTATAGTAAGTAAATAAGTACATATATGCAGACCTCCCCGCAAATGGACCCCCCCTTTTAATTCAGGAAACATTTTTTTGCTGGTATAGAACAGAAAATTCTCACTGATTCTGGCTCAGTTGTCTATCCCTTTCACTACACCTGAATCACTTAGAGGGAGCTGAAATATAATAAAATACCTCCAGCACCAAAATTATATTGAAAATAAGTTTATTTCTCACTTAAAATGTGCCGAGAGTTTGCCAACCATTCCACATGAGACATGCTATTTGATTGGATGGCAGGAGGAGGATCTGTTCCGAAAACACCCGTCAGGCCCACGCGCGGGCACACGGGGTCCCAAGAAGACTGCCCTGCTCTGCACTCGTGCCCCGGGGCAGCTGGGAGTCCTGGCTCAGGTGTTAGTCCACGCCCCCCGTCCACACATTTCTGAGAACCATTCCCACCCCAAGCACCGCGCCGAGGGGACGCAACCTACCACGTACAGCTGTTTCCACATGGCTCCCCAGTCCCTCAGGGTCGATGTCATTTCTGTGATAACGGAGTCTTCGGTGGGAATAACCATTTCAAATTGCCTGTGAAATTAAGGGGAAAACAAAGCGCATGTGCCAATGTCACGCACGACCAATGTCTTCGGGACACTCTGCAAGACAAGGGGGAACAGGACGCCTAGGCCTCGCCCCCCTGGGTTCTGCAGTCACCAGGGTCAGGCTCTCAACTGGGGTGAGGGGTGCCGGGTGGGTCCCCCAGTCCAGCCCCAGAAGGAACAGGCACTGCATCCAACGCGGTCTGAGTGTGGTGGAAAGGCAGGGGTACAGAGGTCCGCTCCAGCCACAGCGACACTGCGACACAGCAGCGCATACCCTCTCCGGGCCCCAAAGCCCGTCCCTGTCACCTGAGGCCACCAGGCTCACCTACCCTGGCAGGTGGCTTTCCCTTCCCTGGCCACAGGGCGTTGAGGCAATGACAGAATCCGGTGGCCACACACATCCAAACTCGCTCGGTGTCATCAATAACGAGACACAGGTACTGACTAGATGCCCCTGACGTAACAGCCGCTTCGTCTCTACTGCGTGTAAACGACTCGGTGTATCTGTCAGTAACGCTCTCCTGCTCGCAAAACTTACTAAGGGCTTACGCCACCCCAGATATCTGAGCGTGCGTTGTGACATGTCCCTCGCTCTGACTGGGGCAATACATTCGTCCACTTCCTCTCTCTAAATCAGAAGCTACGCTCGGAGAGTAGTCGGCCCCGCATCTAGTAAGGCACGGGCGCCGGCCCCACGCCGCGTGGGCACGGAAAGAGAGAGGAAGGGGGTACAGAAGCTTTGTTTGTTCTCCGCACACATGGCGACCCTTTTCTTTGCTCAAGTTTCGCTTTTCAAATTCTTTCCATTTTTATGCAGGTTACAATGGTGAAGTGGCTATTTCGACTGTTTCTCAAAAGAACACTACCAAGTAGACTGATGGGGATTATTTTCTTCCCTCGAGTTTCTTCCCAACGACCACATCGGCTACGTAGAAGGTAAGAGCACATTAGACGCTGCACCAGGCTGTCTGGACGATCAAGGGAAAGGGACTTCTTAGCACGAGGCTAATTAGTGCTCTCCGTTCCTTTCGGATGCTACGGCCAAGGCATAACTGTCATTTGTAAGGTCTCCCTGCCAGCAATTGCGGGAACTAAAATCTTGCCTTGATTTCTTCACTGATAGATGCTCACCTGCTCGGTTCACGCTGCTGCTAAAACACTTGCCCTGTGAGTAGTTGCTTTCTGCCTAGAGCGTAACCACAGCGCAACATGTAACACTGGATTTCACACTAGAAACAAAGTCAGCAATAGCCCATGGGCTGCGATACACACAGACCCTGTCATCAAGACTCCCCCTGACATTTTCAAACGGTAGGGCGTCCGCGTTGCTTTTGCAGTAGCTGTTGCGACGGACACAATGACTCTTTGGACACAGGGAAGATGAAATGACTGGAAGGTCAAGGAGGCAGCAACACATTTCCGGGAAAACCTCACGGCCTGCTTGGCATTTCGAAAGTGGCACGACCTCCGCAGGGAGGCAGCGTCACAGGAGTGGCCTCTCTGTTCGCAAACTATAATTCAGTCCAAGGACCCCGCCCGTCCCACAACCCTTGGAAGACCCAGGAAGAGCACAAAGGCAATTCAGTCTGTGGGAAGTTGATCTGGGTTTGTTCAACCAAAATGCGAATTTTCGAGGAGCACAAAATTGTCATTTTAGGAAAGGCAGCTATTTCGTGTTAATTACCCCCAACGCCAAATCAACATCCAAATGGTCTACCATAGTGGTTGCTCCTGAAATTATCATCTGTTCAGTTGTTCCGAGATGTACTTTGCAGCTGCTTGATCCTGGTGGCCCATCAGGCTGCGAATCCCCCGGACATGAGGGAAGTGACACCCAAAGCCCAGCGAGGGTTCCTCTCGGGAAAAGCAATCGCCTGGTATGACTGGTCCTTAAATGTTTTCAGGCTAAAGGTTTGCTTCCTGTTAGCAGATCCAGACTCTAGGGTCTCAATTCCAACAATATTTTTTTTAGAAAATAAATTTTGGTTCTGCCTCAAAGTTGCATTGCCCAACGCCCATCCTGCCTTGTGTCAGGTGGAAAACCCACCGCCAACCAGGTCTTACACGTCACCAAATTCTAAGTCACCTTTCCCTACATTCAGTCTTCCTTGGGGCTCAGGGAAGACAGCCAGAGGTGAGACAGTTACACAGCAGGGCACAAAAACATAAGCAAAAGATGACACGTCTTTTAATACTATGTCCCTCCCGAATCTGCTTTGAGAGGCCGACGTCCCCTGGGTGAGAAGTCCTCATCTTTGTTGACACCTCGCCTTTCTAGTCCTTGGTCAGAGTGTGAGACGTGGCTCGGTGGCCCTTTGCTCTGGAAAATGGTGGGTGTCAGGGTGGAGTTTGAGACAAAGGTAGCAAGGAGGATGGGGTGCACTGGTCTGCCAGGGTGGACGCTGGAGGAGAACAGGCAGAGACCTGGTGGCTTCCACCTTGCCTGGCCCAGATCAAACCAGCCTGGTGGGGGAACTCCCAAAGGAATGATTACCCTGCTTGAGTCACTTCCGGTGGATTGTGGCCACACAATACTTCTGAGGACACACTTTTATTACAAGTGTGGTAATTATCAGCACCAGAATTATCATGGTTTTCAAGCACAGTTTTAAGTGATTACTATTATTACTACTGAGAACAACAACAACACTACTTAAAGTAGCTAACACTTACCGCATAAGAATTTCCAAGACTCTCAGTTTTATCCATACAGGGAACACTCAAAGGATTTACACCACAGCCTCTGAGCTACCGTGGGAATCCCTGCCTTTCCAGGGAGTGGATGTAAGGATCATCCATTGGAGCCCTGGCCAGTTGCTCAGTGGTTAGAGCGTCGGCCCATGGTCCAGAGGGACGCGGGTTCGGTTCCCGATAAGGGCACGTACCTCAGTTGCAGTTTGTCCCCGGCCCTGGTTGGGGTCGTGTGGGTGGCAGCCAGTTGTTGTGTCTCTCTCACATCGATGCTTCTCTCTCTCTCTTCCTCCCTCTCTCCTTCTTGCTCTATCTAAAGATGAATGCAAAAATGTTCTCGAGTGAGGATAAAAAAAAAAAGGAATCATCCATTCGAATAGCATCCTTGGAATTGTTTCGGGTAATCTCAAGTTTGAAGATATCATTACTGTGCTCTAAAATTTGCTTTTGTAATTTAAAAAAAATGCTATTATTTGCTACTTGCTACTGAACCTGTATTCTTTCTTTCGTCATAAAATAAACAGTCAATGACCCAATGCACATTCCCCGTGACATTGGCAGCTAACATTTGGGTCCAAATCCGTGGCCACTTCCATTGATCTGCTCACGTTTGCTGCCTCAACAAGCAAGTTCTCTGCTTCTTTCCTGCGATGTTTTATTTGAATGATCTGCCTCGAGTTCTTCTGAAAACAGATCGGAAAATTCAAACGGATGGAAAGTCCCAGGTACTCGATGAACTCAGCTGAACTCTATCCCAGAAATGATGTTCTCTGAAGGATAATAATGGCTTTGTGAAGTGGTCACACAAGGAGGTGGTGCTAGCTCTGATCAGACCATCAGACTTAGCTGCTGACAATCAGCGGGGAACCCAGGAAATTCTTGGGGTTCAAGACAGGATAAGCATTCGATGGTCTGACAGCAGGAAACGAACAAGAAGCAGCCCCTTCTGTGTAAGGTTAGGCTGCTGCCGTGACCCGTGGGCAGTGAGAACCCTCCCTCGTGCCCTCGACCCCACCGCTGGCCAGACACAGACGGACCTTCCGTCCCCTCCCCCGACCGCCGGAGTGCCGCCCACCTCTACCAAACAGCACGGACACGCCACTATCTTCCTTCATTCGTCGGTCACGTCAATTACTACGCCTTTCAAATATCACACTAAGCAACGGTCCTGGGAGAATCCTCCAAGTATGAATAAAACGCATCTCTTACCCTTTGTTCTTCACAAAGGCATTTTTCAAGTGAACGTAGCTGGAAGGAAAGATACCCTGGAAGAGAAAAGGTGGAGGTTAGGGCGCCAGCTGTCGCTAAGGCAGCACTGGCTTCACAAGTCGCGTGGATGCAGCACAGCCCACAACCACAACGACGTCAGAAATGGGACACGCGCTCTCTCGCCACATCCCAGACCAGGCTGACTCTACGGCAGCTTAGAGTCAAGCCCCTTCTACTTGTCCCTGGCTTCCACGCTTAAGAATTCTCTCTGAAGCAAATATCATCAAAACACTGTCTCACTCCAAAGCATATTTTTATAAGACAGAGATTTTTTTAAAAATGTGAGGAGTTCTGCCTAGAAAGCATGTTCTGTTGAATTTTTTTTAACTATTGCACGGTTTTGAAAACAGGTTGTTCTTTTTGTTTGTTGGGGGTGTTCTTTCTTCTTCTCTCCCAAAGGCTCGTGTGTGCATTTAAATACACACTAAACACGTGCCGCCTTGAATTTGGAGACACGTATATCAAGTGTTATGGAAGATCTTTGAGGAAAATCAGTTCATCACCAAGCTGCCTTCCGATGGGACAAGAATTAAACAGAAGGAGCCAGGCGGGCGTGGAGCTCCCTGCTGCAGGGAAAAGACGGGACAAGCAACGTGTGCCTTTGTTCTACATGCAAAGTGGGAAGCAACAACATTAAAAATAAATGAACATCAATTTTATTGTCCATTAAATGACAATATCCTCTGACTAAGTTCTGATGCACAATCAAATGACAAATTCAATTAAATATTTAGGAAAACAAATGTCCTTTGAATACATTATCACCCCTGTGGATCCAAGGATGACACAAAACGTAATAAGCGAATTCTGTATATACAATAGTAAAGAGGTATATAGGTTTAAAAATACTTTCTTTCCTTTACAATTTAAATTTGCCTCAATACGGTAAGACTAACAGAGTAATTATAAAGGATCAGGAAAAGGTTAGAATTTGAGATGAGAAGAACAACAGAAATAACAGAAGCCTAATAGAGTTTTTTTTCTCAAGCAAGTTCTAAACGGATAATTAAATGCTAAAGCTATGTTTGCATGTGAGTAGCAGATGTCCCGAAATATCTTTAAATGAGGGCTAAGTATTAAAAGTAAATATATCTATACACTCTCTGGTCCCCCAGGCTCTCTGTGGAATGACCTGAAATAAATGAAATAAAGGAAACAAGTTCTATCATTCAGAAAAAGGCTAACAGGCAGAAAGACAGGCAAAAGAGAAATTACAGAATTTCTGGTCTACAATCCTAATAAAGTCAGAATTCAACCAAAAAAAAAAAAAGAACATGACATATAAAAAAATCTTAGAGAATGTGGGAAGTCTGAGTGAAACCTGGGAGATTAGAACAAAGTAGAAAAATATAGATGTCGGTAAGGATTCGTGTCAAAATCATAAACCATACTGATGAAAGGTAAAACAAAAATTATATTACTTCCTACTCTGATTCCTGAAGATTTATACAAATCTAGAAATGAGTTCAGCTTCGCCTGGAATGCAGCAAGATGAGTGCTTTGCACCCCGATTTTCCCATGTCTCTGCTGCCAAACCTAAAGGAACACTTACCACTGCTCAGATGGAGCAGTCTCCCCAATATTTTACAGATGGTTCTGTGAAAAACTTAAAGATTAAATACCTCAAGTCGACATTTCTTTAGGAACATGTATCTCCCCTGCCTGGATTTTAATTTTGCCCTCTGCGAAACTAACACTTCAAACAGATTTTGTTTATATCTAATGAGCTTATTAAGGCCTTCTCGGTACAAATTTCCAGAGCTACACAGGATTATCATTTGAGAAGCATATCTCAACTGTAATCCAAGTTCAAAGGAATTTCCGAAATTATGAAAATCCGTATTGCCGATCGGCATTTCAGCTAAAAGTCCCAACTGTACTTTCAATTGTATAATGAAATAAAGTAACATAACGCTTTTGAAAAAAATCCCATCATTGTGGTTAGAAGTAATAATTTTTTTACCTTGATGTTTGGGTTTTTTAAGGCAAATCCTCTGTACCAGCCTGCGAAGAAATAATCAGAGTCATATTGAAAGAAACCACGGTGATATTTTAAAGAAGAGAATGATTACAAGTCCATCTGTGCTTTGCGATGTCTCGGGGAAATTCGAGGATCTGCACGAGATGGGACACAATCCGAAATTCTCTCAGCTGACCACACAGCCCAGACTGTGCCATCAGAACAGTGCTCGGCCACCGGTCCTGCAGCGAGTGGGCCTGTCCCAGGCCACGGTGCTGGGGTAGTCGTCCGACAGCATCGGATGAGTAACACTAGTGACTGTGGCCGGGGCCAGCTGGGCCATGGAGATGGCTTTGTGCAGTACGTGACTGTCTCACCACGATGCTGCACCCGGAAACCAACACAAAATAAGATTAGGGAAAAGGAAGAGAGGAGTCAGATCTCACCACTAAGGGGATTGACGGTCACTCTTCCACCAGCAGTGTCCAGCCAGCCAAGCTCGCCTCGTCTTTCCCGTCAAAGTCCACAACTCACCTTTCTACATAAGTAAGTTCAGGGCGTGTGTGTATGTATCCATATACTAGACAGCCCCCCATAAATGTATTATGTTCAAATTACTTTACCAAACAGATGTTCTACTGAATGGAATTTCTTCAATTAATCGAATTTCCAAAAAGAAATACTTGAGCTTTGTGTTTAAGTATTTTTTTCCCCGTAAGTTTTTTTTTTTTAAAGGATATACTGTTAAAAAAAAAAAATCAGTTTTAAAATCAGAAGAAAGGAGAATAAATGGTCAGAAATTTCTATCTCTTAGGGTTTATTAAATCCCTTGAAGACATATCCAAGAAATTGAGCCATTCTTAAATAATTACTTTAACAGAAACCAAACTTTGAGAATTGCAAAATGTCAGAGAGGTCTGTCCAGTTAAACTACGCAGCAAGGTTTCTGATTGTCACACAGCAACCATTAGCTGTGAAGCCATTGCCATGCACCAATTCAAACAGATTTTATATTTATCTACATGCAAAGTAGAAACAGACAAATGCATCGGCAATGACAAAGCATTACATTCCTGAAAGTATCCATTACAGCAGCCAGGATCATGTCCTGCCACCATTTAATACCAGCCTCTAAATATTGTAGCTGTGTCTGGGGGAACACAATTTCATCAATAATGAACCTTGATATGGGAGAATATCATGACGTTATAAATTCCTAATAAGGACAACAAGGTTAAAAGAAAAATGAATATTTGGGGATATACTGATGGGACTTGAAAATGTGTTCTTTCCATTAACAAAGAATAGTCATTTCATCTGGGATCTTTTTAAGGACTCAAGTTTAAGGATGCTTTGTAGAACGGGAACGGAAACATTGTAGAATAAATTAGGTATCTTGATTTAGGGCGTTACCTGCTACATAAATTAATAATAAATCGTACAATTTTGTGTGATGTAACCCACTAAGACTCCAAACGGCTCGAGTAACCTCAGGGCACACCTGGAGGGACGCAGGGAGAAGGCCGCGGCCGGAGCCAAGTCCTCCTGGGCAGGAGCCCTCACCGGGGCTGGGGTTGCCCCACCGTGGGGAAGGGTTTCTGGGTGTCCTTCCTGGGGAACCGACCAGGCCCCTGAGAGTCTAAGAAAGGCCTGCGACTCCCACAAACACAGTCGCCTCGACGGCTTTGCAGGCTGGCGCCCAGTGAATGTAAGGACGTACTACTAGGGGGAAACAGCATCAGCTTAAAAATACCCAGCGATGCTTCTCGTACTCCACACATCGGAAGTGCAAGAAGCAGTCTTGTCAAACGGTTCAGTGGGACTCCTGGCCACTTCCAGACCAGCAGGGGCAGGGACAGTCTGCACACGGCGAGCTCACCCCTCCAGCCCACTCACCGTCACACTTCTCCAGGATCTGCACGGTGTCTCCGATTTCCAGGGACAGGCCGTAGGGGACGGTGCCTCGGAAACTGGCAATGGCTGGAAGAAATGATACAGAGGGGATGAAGGCAATCACATCCAGAGACTGCTACACCCAGTGCGTCCCCCGCAGACCACCCGGCTGGACGAGGGACGTGGCCGGGAAGCCAGCACCCACGGCCACGTTTCCTCTCATCTCTTTTGCAAGAGTCCATCTTTAACCGTCTACGCCTTGCCAACCTCCTGGCCACCTAAACGTGAGTGTCAGGGACGTGGAATGTACCAGATCGCTGTGCCCTACGTATTCACTGCCAGGCTCTCTGCGGCCTTAGGCGGGGTCTACCGTTCTGCGACACGGAGGGAAGGGGACGTCTCCCTAGCCCGTCAGCTCCTCCAGAGAAGGGACGGGGTCTGTGCCCACTGTGTGCCCAGGACCCAGCCAGCAGTCTCCGCGGAGTGAGCAACGGTGACATTTTATTTGGTCACAACTGGGCTCCTCCCCGGGCCTAAGCACAGAGCCACCACGCCCATGCCCATGCCCACGCCCACGCCCACCGCCTGAGCGGACACTGCGTCTGGGACGGGTGGGGAGAGGCCACTTAGCCCTACCTGCAGGCTATTGGACTGGTTTCTGAAACAATTTGCAGGGCTGGGCGGGACCAGGATGTGAAAGCAGAGAGAGAGGTGTGGGTCAGGGGGCCCAGGCAGCTCAGGGTCGTTTTAGAGAAGAAGCACGGGGACCGTCCCAGGAGCAGTGGCGCTAGACTCACAGAGGAGATGAGATGGGCGACATGACAATAATGCCCCTCGGCGCACGAGGAGAGAAGAGCGTCTGTTAAACCCCGTGGATGCTCAAGTCCACTCCCAGGCCCCGTAAAAAGAAAATGAGGGTAAATGCTTTGAGTGCTTGCTTTTTAAAAGACCAACGTTTTGGAAACGAACGTGAGGCTTCTGCTTCAGGGAGACTTGAGCACAGCCCAGCCGCCCGCCCCCCAGTAAAGGGCTGGCCCTGAAGGCACACTCGAGTCTGTCGCGAATAAAACGATGTCAGTGAGTAACGAGCTCCTCGGGACGTTCCAAACCCCTCCGCGGTCTGTGAACAAAACTAACAGCAGAAACCAAAACACAGGACCGAAGAGGTAACCCAGGTCCAGGAGATGGGTGAAAACCACCATACGGTCGGTCTCCCGGTGAGGACATTTGGGATGAGCACCGATTCACGAGGTCGTGTTTGAACTATAACCATTAATGCCACGTGGCCTTACACCGAGGTGCCAGAACTTTCCGTACTTCACAGACGACTTCAAACAACGTTCGGGGCCCTCTTCTTTCAAGGGACTGGCCACCGGACAGACAGACCGATTACAAGTTAAAAGCCTTCCGAACAAGCTCGCACCCAGGACTGCCTTCGACACGCAGGGTGTGACGTCACCTTCTGCCAACCGCAGGGGTTCGGTGGTGCTGTACCGCCGACCCTTCTGGGAGATCCGAGTGCACGGACTCCTCAGCCCAGCTCCACACACAGCTCTTACCACTCACAACCGCCCCTGAAAGTCCCAAGCGGTTGTGAACACCTCCCCACTGCCGGTGCTCCCTCCGACCCCTCTGGTTGTCTCTCCACGTCCCAGTCCACACAATCCAGACTTCACGGGGTTCTGCGGCCCCTCCACCCAAGCCAGCAGGCCCCACACGGTGACACGCCCATCATCTCCGGATGTTCTCCTGCTTCTCTGACCCTCTCCAGCCTGCATCTCTAGACCATCTTTCCGTGGCCGTCCCCTTAAATGTTGGTGTCATCCTCAGAATGCTCGGTGGAAAGGCTGGGGTGGAGGGAAACAACTTCAACCTTGACATCGTGCGTTGCCTTTGGCCACAGATCTTACCACGGAGTAGCTGTGTCCCTTTGGTCAAGATGCCAACTTCTCGGAACCTCCATCACCCCATCGGGCAGCGGGGGTGACAACAAAGGAAATCATTACCACGCTGTCCAGAATGCCCTCGTTACTGAGTTGTTCAAACTATACCTCTTCGCTTCTGTCCATACACAGTCTCCCTATCTGGAGAGAGCATTACAGCTTCCAGGACTACCGGTTGATAAAAGGTTGGCCAAGTCTCTCTACAGATTTGATTTCTTAAGTTTACGGCATAAAATGAACAGCACGGCCACCCTGGGGACCCTTGAGATGACCCACTCATCACATCGAACAAAACAAAAGCTCAACACTAGCATTTCATTTGCTCTGTTGAATGAACAAAATTGACATTTTCGCCTAGGTTTGGTAAACTACATGGCCTCTTTAGAGACTAGGTTTGTAACCAAAGAATGTGTGCATGTGTGTTTGTTAACAGCCTGCGGGGACGACCCTCACAGTGGTTACTTCCTCATGATAAATCACCAGTCCCTGTCTGTCTCCTTCCCACGGGCTCTTCTCTGGGGAGGACAGACTAGTGTATCTTCCTAGGGACTGTCTCCAACAATACTTCTTTGGAACCAAGGTTTTCGGCCTTCCTGATGTTCACAATAGCTCGCGAGTTATTGGTTCTGTTGTATACTGAGTTAGAACGGACTATGAAAATCTTACCTAAAATAAGACAAACTACAAACTACAGTCAGCCTGCTTCATCAATTATTTCACATGCAAGGAAAATTAGGGATGGACAGGATTCCTAGGAGGGCGGGTCTCCTCTGCGGGGAGGTGGTGAGACACTGGCAAATGTGCACAGAGAGCGGGATTAGGCTGACTCCTTCCGAAGACCACGCTTCCCATCCTGGTCTCCTAGGAAACCCAGTGGATGGAGGTCCATCCACACCTCAGCTGCCGCGACTCGGTGGTCCATCCACACCTCAGCTGTGCCGTGACTCAGTGGTCCATCCACACCTCAGCTGCCGCGACTCGGTGGTCCATCCACACCTCAGCTGTGCGGTGACTCGGTGGTCCATCCACACCTCAGCTGTGCGGTGACTCGGTGGTCCATCCACACCTCAGCTGTGCCGTGACTCGGTGGTCCATCCACACCTCAGCTGTGCCGTGACTCGGTGGTCCATCCACACCTCAGCTGTGCCGTGACTCGGTGGTCCATCCACACCTCAGCTGTGCCGTGACTCGGTGGTCCATCCACACCTCAGCTGTGCCGTGACTCGTGACTCGGTGGTCCATCCACACCTCAGCTGTGCCGTGACTCAGTGGTCCATCCACATCTCAGCTGTGCTGTGACTCGGTGGTCCATCCACATCTCAGCTGCCGCGACTCAGTGGTCCATCCACACCTCAGCTGTGCTGTGACTCGGTGGTCCATCCACACCTCAGCTGCCGCGACTCGGTGGTCCATCCACACCTCAGCTGTGCTGTGACTCGGTGGTCCATCCACACCTCAGCTGTGCTGTGACTCGGTGGTCCATCCACACCTCAGCTGCCGCGACTCAGTGGTCCATCCACACCTCAGCTGCGCTGCGACTCAGTGGTCCGTCCACACCTCAGCTGCCGTGACTCGGTGGTCCATCCACACCTCAGCTGCCGTGACTCGGTGGTCCGTCCACACCTCAGCTGTGCTGTGACTCGGTGGTCCATCCACACCTCAGCTGTGCTGTGACTCGGTGGTCCATCCACACCTCAGCTGCCGTGACTCGGTGGTCCATCCACACCTCAGCTGCCGTGACTCGGTGGTCCGTCCACACCTCAGCTGCCGTGACTCGGTGGTCCGTCCACACCTCAGCTGCCGTGACTCGGTGGTCCATCCACACTGCTCAGGGCCCCAGCCCAGACTACACAGTCAGGAGTACGTCTTCTAGTGTTCCATCCCTCCCTTTCTTCTCCCCAGGAGAACATGTCCACATGAGGGTCATCTCTCCTCCAACCCCACTCCCACTCCACCGCAGGGCAGACGCGTAGCACCTGACCAACGGGAGCGGAGGGAATGAAGAGCCATGTCCTCTGGGACCTGGCAGGAGCCCAGTCCAGCCATTCTTCAGACCTCGCCCAGTGTGCAGACCCGAAGGGCCTGACAGGGACCATCACACCACGACTACCCACATGGTGTTTGTAAGCCTGCTGTTCATGTGGCTTATGCTTCCCAAGAAATCCACCCAGCCCTGTACTCCCACGTCATACATTCTCTATGAAGCCTCCTGCTTCCCCTCAGTGACTAGTTCTGAAAGTAAAAGATATTTTGGGGTCCGGCCGGGGTGGCTCAGGGGTTGAGCGTCGACCCCTGCACCAAGAGGTCACCGATTCGATTCCCAGTCAGGGCACATGCCCAGGTTGTGGGCCGATCCCCAGCAGGGGGCGTGCAGGAGGCGGCCAGTTGATGTTCTCTCTCATCAATGTTTCTATGTCTCTCTCCCTCTCATTTCCTCTCTCTCTAAAATCAATAAAGGGGGGGAAAAAGATATTTTGGAGGGGGAAAATGCTGCTACTTTATCTTTGAGATTTTAATGGGAAATTAAAGCAAAACTCATGAAACTACCCAATCAGAGAACCAGGATAAAAATGAACATTACCGACTCAGCACCAATTATAAATAAACGTTTAAACCCTTCCTCAGGGTTTTTCAAGGGCACCAAGTCCCCCTGGGGATCTTACCCTCTGTTCTCCCACTTCCAAGTTCATCGGCCAACGGAGCCAAGACCACTCCGCCTCTCCTCACCGCACAGTTCAGCTCACTACTGGTCCCAGATGTTGTCTACAACAGTGCACATCTGGGTTCTCTGTCAGCAAACTACTACGGCATTTAAAAGAAACTTTAAAAACTACGCCTCCCCGACCCCCCCAACACATTTCATTTTTACAACAGAGATTAAAAATCACTGTGCTTGACTCGAGTTAAAAATCTTTGTCAATATTGACCCTTTCCCCTCCAACAATGAAATTTGCCAAACAAATTAGGTTAGTTTTCCAAAATAGCTTCAAAAACAGACAACTGTGCTGTTAGGGCCAGAGCCAGGCCCTCATTTCACAATATGGTGATTAGGGACAACCCATCTCCTGCGATTCTTTGGTCTGAATGACAATTTTGCATTTGTTTTTATTTTGCTGAGCATCACTGGAGTGACTCAGTCTGTTC